GAATTCTGCGAATGAGACGCCGACGGAGGAGAGGCCGGAGCTGATGCAGACGACGGCATGCCGCTCTTCAAATCACTGTTCTATCTTCTAAATTTTCTGAACGGCGAACGAAACTTCACGTGGGAATGAGAATGGGAAACGAATTAATATAATAACAGTGCTACAAAATTGTTCTCTTCTCGCCAAACCTTATAAAGGGCTCAAACATAAAAATTAAAAAATAATTATAAAGAATAGACATTTTTCATTCTCTTCTCCCAATATAGATTGATGGGTTTAAGTTTCATTTCAGTAACTGATGAACCCATTGATCAAAATTTGATCTTCCAATTCTTTTTTTCTTGGTTTATGATTTTAAGCAAATTTAAGATCATTTTGCAATTTGCCCCATTTCCTTTTCTGGGTACTGATCTGAGAATCTTGAAGAAAAATCAAGAAATAGTTTCATGATCTTCCTCTACCAATAATCTCCACATGAACAAATCCCATTTTTGAAGTGATGAAAACGCTTATTGTCTCTAATAATGATCTCCCTTTTGGCGGCTTTGCTTATGAACTTGGCTGCATTGTGACAGTCTCTACAAATTCTTAGATTCTTGCAGATTCTTAACGTAGTGCCTTCTTTCGTGTTTAAGAAGCCAAAGGAAATTGCTAGCTTCTCACTATGCCCCTTCAATATCTTAATCTTTTCCTCCTCTTCCAATTCATGAAGAACACAACTAGAATCAGGTGTGTAGCCAATTTCCACAATTTGTTTCTCCAGTCTATTCCACATCTTTCGAATCTCGTTTGAATCGAGGATCGACAAGTCGTTACCCGCTATAAAACTATAGATTTTACCTCCAAGTTCAATCCAACTGCAGCCAGCCGCTTTCTGAAGGTTGAGATCCTTCATTTTCTGTCGCACCATTCGCACAAGATCCCATTTTCCTGCTGTTGCATACAAGTTAGAGAGCAAAATGTAGCTGTCAGCTTTGTTTGCTTCCAGTGCAAGCAACTTCTCAGCAGCCTTTTCTCCCATTGCTAGATCACCGTAAGTTCTACTAGAACTGAGCAATGAGCTCCAGATTTTAGCATCTGGTTCTTCAGGCATCTCATTTATGAGGTTTAAAGCTTCGTTTAGTCGACCTGCTCTACCGAGCATGTCGATCACACAAGCATAGTGTTCGAGTTCCGGTTCTAGTTTGTACAAACTCTGCATTTGAGCAAGATAATATAGCCCCTCTGATACCAATCCAGCATGACAACATGCCTGGAGAACTCCAAGAAAAGTGAACCTATCAGGCTGCTTATTTAATCTTTGCATCTCCTCAAACAGCTCCACGGCCTTGTTACCTTGTCCATGCACACCAAATCCTGTGATCATCACGTTCCATGAAGCTGCTTCTTTCTTGTTTAACCCGTTAAATATTCGTTGAGATCGTCCCAAACAGCCGCTTTTGGCATACATGTCCATGAGCGAACAAGCAACGAAATTGTCTTCTATAAGACGGCTTTTCAAGACAAAGCAATGAACTTCTCTTCCTAGACTCAGGGCTGATAGCTCAGAACAAGCCCCAAGGACACTCGCCATGGCGATCTCGTTCGGTTTGAGTCCTTCAGAAAGCATTTGACGAAAGAGAGAGATTGCTTCGTTTGGAAGTTCGTTTTGAGAATAGCCTGAAAGCATTGCATTCCAACACACTGAGTTTTTAACTTTTATCCTCTCAAAGAAAGTTCTGGCATAGAATGGTTTAGAACAATGGATATAAAGTGATAGTAATGAGACAGCTACAAATGAATCCATCTCTAATCCATTCCTTAGAACAAATCCATGTATCTCTTTACCATATTGTAGATGTCTCAAACGGGCACAAGCCAATAGTAGGGTACTGATGCTAAAATCGTCAAGAAAGTAGCCCGAACGTCTCATCCGAAAATAAAAATCAAAAGCCTTTCGTGGATCACCATTGTGGGCATATCCACCTATGATTGCATTCCAAGAGCTAACTGACTTAGTATTCATACCAGAGAAGATATGCTCAGCAGAACTCAATGATCCACACTTGGCATAGGCGGCTATGAACGCGTTATTTATCGATTCATCGTATTGAAACCAATGTCTGAGTGAATATCCATGAAGTTCCCTCAAACTCAACAGTTCAGTTTCTTCCACACAAGCAGGTAACAAATTCAAAATGGTGACCTCGTTTACTTTGATCATTTCTTCTTCCATCCACATCTTTCTCAACAGTTCAAATGTTTCATATACGAATCCTTCCCTAGAATATGCACCAACCATGGAATTCCAAGAAACTACATTTTTGTTCTCAATCTTATGAAATAAAAGTGCTGCTTGTGATAAATAACCGCATTTTGAATACATGTCAACCAAAGCATTGCATACCATTAGTTCACGAACAAGCCCCAGTTTCAGTGCCATCCCATGAATTACCATTCCCATATCTACATCTCCTTCTCCTGAACACACAGGCAACAAAGTTACTATTGTAGCAACATCCGGAATCAAGCCATCGCTACTCTCCAAAAGCCTCCTAAACGCACCAAAAGCTTCCAGCCATAATTCATTCTCAGAAAACCCACAAATCAACGAATTCCATGATATCAAGTTTCGTTCAGGCATTTTGTCAAACACCTTGATGGCTTCGTCTACAAGGCCACATTTTCCATACAGCGAAATCATCGCATTACCCACAAACAAATCCATGATGAATCCCATTTTCACCGCCATCCCATGAACCGATTGCCCCAAACGAACATCACACTTCCCTGTACAGGCCTTAATCAAGCAAGGCAGTGTAAAGTTATCAGGTTGAAACCCAGTTACCGATATCAACTCAATGAAAGTGTGAATCGCCTCGTCGTAGAGTTCATTTCTAACATACCCACTAACAAGTGCATTCCACTGAAACAAATTCCTGTTCTGCAAACGATCAAAAACCAATCGAGCATCGGAAGGATACCCACACATGGAGTACATAGTGATGAGACGGGTATTGAGAACAAAGTCGCCGCTGAACTGAGAGGAGACGCGCAACATTTCATCAAGTTCGCGGCCAATTTCAACGTCTTTAAACTGCCCACATTTCTGCAACAACACACCCATGGCTTCTTTTCTCTGCACCAAATCATAACCACCATTGTTCTTCCATCCTCTCTGAAGAAAATCAAAAGCTCCATTGAGATCACTCGCTTCACAGAGCTCGCAAATCTCTTCAAGAAGTGAGAGTTCAGAAACCAGCTTGATGGATTGAGCTTGATGGGTTTGAGCAGAAACAGAGAAGGATGATTTTGGAGATGAAATTAAAAGCAAGGAACATTTTAAAATTGAGCTGGAAGTTAGTTTACGTATGGTTGTTGGAGCGCGGTAACGGCAGGAGAATGGCGGCGCCACCACAGCCATTAAAGAAGCTCCTCGATGTCAGCAAGTGATGGAAATTGTCAAATTGTTTTGAGTTCTTTTACAAAATATGATCATCCGTTTACCAAATTTGTGTAAATTCGGTAAATAATTTATAATTAAGGGGTAAATGTGTGAACAATGAACTTCTTGGGCCACAAAAGTGGATGAGATCATGAAATGGGTAATTTGGGCTTTTTTATAATGGGCCGGCCTGCAAGTTGCTTTTGCCTAAAAGCCCATCATTTTGACATGCTTCCTATATGATTTGGGCCCGGGCTCCTTCTAAAATAATTTTAATTTTATTTAGGTTAAATAATAATAAGTTTTATGGGAGGCCCATAAATAATTTTAAAAAAAATTAGAAAAAAATAAGTTTTATTGAAAATTCATGAACTAAAATTCAAATATAATGTTTAGACGAGACGGAGTGGGGATAGGGAATATAATCTCCGTCCCCGTTTATTTAACGGGGAGAAATCTCTCTCCACTCCCTCTATGTTCAAACGATAATTTTCCGCTCCATTCGGGGCAGGTGCCCATGGGGGCCCACCCCTACGGAATAAGTGGACATCTTTACTTCTCATTCGTTGTTCGGTTGACTCCATTGTCTTTTCGGTAATTACTCTACTCTCTTATTTTTAACACGAATATATTTTCTACAAATAAAAAAATTATATTTATCTATATTTGAATATCTAATTTTTTTTTTATAAAATATAAAATAACATATATATTTAAAAAAATGAAAAATAGTGGAAAGAGTATTATTGGAGTGAAAGATGCAAATAAGAAGGCACATTTAAGAAGAGTTGTAGGGTTATGGGGAAGCATTGCTCTTCATATTGGCCCCCTTTTCTGCACACTTGTCAATATCTTTCTCCTAATTATTACTATTATTAATATTATTATTATTTATTTTTAAAATTTTTAAATTAAAAAAATTAAAAAAATAAACCCACTCTCTCTCCACGTGCGCACCAACAATTTTCTCTCTGACACAAAACCACGTCGTTTTCCGCATACATATTATTTCCTTCACCAAAATAATAACACATTAAATTTCGAATCAATAAAATTAAATAATAATAAATCATTATGTCAACAATTTTGTTCTTAATACTTTACCACATATTAATCACAAAATGTACCTTCTAAGATTTGGAACAATATTAAAAAATAAAATAAAAACATTACTCAAAAATTCATTTTATTATTTTATAATATTTAACCCTCGTTTTTTTTTTACCAAAATATTTTGATGTGACGGTAATCTATAAATATATAAGTCACATGGATTATCGTTGTTATTTTTAAACTATAAAGGTCAAATTCGATATCGCATTCGACCACGTGGGATTGTCTAAACACTTTTTCTTACCTATCCTTGTAAAATTATCTGTTTTCAATTTTTTAAATTTTTTTGAAAATAATAATACTTTTTTTTATTTAGTGAAAAGAGGGCAATGGAGAAAAATAAGGGAAAAAAAACATCCATTTATGTGTTCTTTAGAAGCTCGGTTTCTGTAAGGAAAAACATCCATTAATGGCTAATGTGAAGCTCATATGGATCACTGTAGTTTGTTTGTCTGGATTGTTGTAAATAAATGGCTGCTTGTTACACAAAAAGAACAGGAACCACAGAACATAAGTAGAGGAAAACATAGGAACAAACATAAATGAAATACCCAATGAAGAGAAGAACTGAGCTTCTTCCCCTTAGTTTCTTTTACCCATCCAGATGCACTTTCTTGCCTTGGAGCTGCTCTGAACTGAGCTCTTTGGCTCTTTCACTTCTTTTCTTTCAGCTCTTTGCTTCTTCTTTAATGGCTTCTTGGGTTTGGGCTTGGGTTTGGGTTTGGTTTCGAAGCAAGAGTTTGGCTTGTTCTGGTGGGTGAAGAGAGGCAGCAAAGCATGGGGGGGATTCTTCATCCCTCCAAATGGGTGGCGTCTTTGTTGATGACTTGGGCCTGAAGAAGCATCAGAAGCCATGGAGTCATCGCTGTCATCTTGGTTAATATCATAATAGCCTTTGTGTTCTTCATCTTCTTCTTCATCAGAAGCTGCACCAGTATCAACATCACTGGAACCATCAGCAGCTGCAGGGGATCCAATATACATAGTCCAACCAGATTCACTGCTGTGACATTCTTCTGAAACTCCAAACATTTGGGATGGCTCCATAACTGGACACAAGCAATTCGAGGAGTTTAAGAAACACACAGAACAAGAACAAGAACAAGAACAGAATTGGGGAAGGCTGAATTTAGACACCTGAGGAAACCATTCATACCCTTTTGCTACCTCTCTGACCAAACAGGCTTCTCTAATTATATGAAAGCTACAAAGCCCAATTTTTTTAAAAAAACATGAAAAAAAACACACAAGTTCTTAGTGGGTAGAGATAAAAACCCTCACTGCACCACCTGGAAATCCAAAGGCAAATAAATTCTCTGACTTTTTCACTGAGCAGAAGACAGCTAGAAGGTGTCCATGAAAGAGAAATCCTTCCAATTGCAAAAGATATACAAACATGCTAAAGTTTCTTGAATTTGAAAGGACATGGGGGGGTTGGTTCATCACAGAAGATGGCAATCATCTTAACTCTTCTCTGCATTCTGTCATTATTAGAAGAGGTAGCTTTAAATGCAGAGAGATGGGTTAGCTCAGCCCTACAAAACTAGAGAGAATATAAGACTCATGTTCTTAAATAGCATGGAAATGGACATCTGCATAACCCTTACATTACCTATCTCACCTTCAGAATTCTTATTCCTTTCTGTCTTTTGGTTCTTCCATTTGTTTTCTTTTCCTGTTTAATGTATTTTCACCCTGAGGAAGAACAAAATGCAACAAACCCAACAAGGAGTTAGGTTTACAGAGCAAACAACTCAGAAAATTTGTCACATACAAGAAAGAAAAAGAAGAGAAAAGAAAAATCTGCCTGTTTTTTTTGGTTTTTCTGTCTTCTTTGTATTTGCAGGTTCAGGGCCTCAGAAAGCAGGATTGTGACTCATGTTTCAGGTTGATGAACGTGGCTGTTTTCCTGTTTGTTTGTTTGTTTGGTTGTGTTTTTTTTTTTTTTCAGCTCAATTATTTGGTTCCATAAAAATGGGTGTGCCATAGCCCAATTGGCAATCCAGCTCCTTGGAAAATGTCATTTCTAGTTTCAAGGATTAATTAAAGCTTTAATGAAATGAACTGGAAAGGAAGCAAATGTCCTTTTGCTATTGTTGCTACTTCCTTCTGAAACAGTGTTCATAAGTGAAATAACTGTTATCAGACAGACAGCTCCCATAATTTACTTCTGCATTCACTCTTGAAATGACCAGTTTTCTTTTTTCATGCTTTCCTCTCTCTCTCTCTCTTCCATGTGAAAAGAATGTAAAGAATCAATAAACATGAACAAATGGGTATCATTTTCTTGTGTTGTATCAGAGAAAACTTGGTTGGTTTTCAAGATTAAACCAACAAAAACAACTCAAATGTTGCATTCAAGGGTCCGTTTGAAGTTTTGGAGTTTAGACAAAAGAATAGCTGGTTTTTTGTTGCACATCATTTGGCTGAGGTAAGTGAGTAGTCCTATTAATGGGGACCTCATTGATAGGAAGGACAGGAACAAAACAAAGTTAAGAGTTCAAAAATCCAGATGGTTTGGCCATCCCTTGCCCCCCTCACTCGTAAACATGGCTTAGTTGTTCCCCACTCTCTTCCCCTTTCACCATGACTTGTTATGCAGACTCACTAGACAGTGTTTGGCCCATGTATCATTCTTGGTGTTTGTCCTTTTTTGCACCTTGCCCTTCGCACACAGCCTCCACGTGAGAATCCAAGATATGGTTATGTAATCAACACAATGTCGTCAAACACTATTCGTGTAACAACCCAACCCAATCCCACCGCGGGTAGATATTGTCCTTTTTGGACTTTCCGTTTCTGGTTTTCTCTCAAAATGAGTCTGCTAGGGAGAGGTTTCCACACCTTTATAAACAATGTTTCATTCTCTTCTCCAATTGATGTGGGATCTCACAATCCACCCCCCTTTCGAGACCCATTGTCCTCACTTGCACTCGTTCATCTCTCCAATCGATGTGTGATCTCACAATCCATCCCCTTTCGGAGCCCAGTGTCCTAGCTGGCACACCGCCTGGTGTTATTATCTTCATATCGCTGGCACATTACGGGAGCCCCATTCATTTTTTTTCGAAAGCTCGACATTTACTCCCCCTTTATATCTTCATGTCATCTTTACCAAGTTTTTCTTTTCTAATACTAAAATATGGCTAAAAATTCACGTAACGCAAGGAAAATCTCAGTTCAAATATAACAGAGAAGTGTTCAGAACTCAAGCTGTTTTAAATTATAATGAACAGGAACTTTTCTTTTTCCCTTTTTACTTCATCTTTTTCTGTGAGTACAGAGAGAGGAGGGGAAACAAATAGTGTACCTGAGAAGGCCCATTTTTAGTATTTTGTTAATGAATATACAAGCCGTACCTTATAATAGTAGCTTAGCACCACATGCAAGTTGGAACTTTCTGCCCTTAATGGCTGCAGTTGAAGAACTGAAAAAGACAATTCAAAGTTGTCCAAATCTTTGGATATTCATTATAATAATGTTCTCTTTGGGCCAATAGTTACTTTTTAAAAGCTCATGGCCAACAATTGTATCTTTAACTATGATCTTATGTCTCTCCAAATATGTCTGTTCTGTCATTTTTCACCGAACTAGCTCATAGTTCTAAGTAGTTCCCAACCCCCTACCCTTGTGTTTTCTTGGATACAATCCATTCTTATACGGAGAGTGGCTACTTAATTTATTCTAAAGGGCTTGGATTATTCAACATAGGCATGTACAAGAATAGACCTAAATTCAAACCTGTCCTTCCTGCTCATAGATTTGCCCTATTCCCATCTCTATAAACGTACTACTCCACAAACAAGTTTATAATATATGCCATAAATCTGAACAAAACACTACAAATATATCAACTAGACATATTTAAGGCTATGGGTGGTACCATTGCCGAGGTGAAAATCGGGATTTCCCCTAAAGACGTGTCGATGTTCGTATCGCTCCTCACACATATTCTCCTTGAGGCAGCAGTATTCCGAATGTAGCTTGTTGTTATGCAGTTGGAGTTAAGTTTGGTGGTGTCTTGCTGCACAACTGCCTATTTTCTTTCCTCACAAACAACTGCTCACATTGTATCCTTCTGTCAGTAGATGTAGAAATTCACAATGCAAAGCAACCACTTCATAAGCAATCGTAGTTTTTATATGCAAAAGTGAACAACTTGAATCCTCACCCTGTTCTATGTCCTGCATAATTCAATGCACATTCAACCTCCAATGATTGTTCATTAGTTGTAGCTGCTTTTGCAAGATAAGATGCTCAAAGGATAGAAATCCACTTAAAGTAAAGAACTATTCATGCCAGATGAATTTGATTTTCAGACAAGCAATGGGTAACTTTTCAACTCTTCATCTCTACTTATTCTTGTTTACAGTAGTTATCTTTGAAGGAAGAAAAAAGGGAAGATACCAATTATTGTAGGAAAGTTTGTTCTGAATTTATTGTCCGTAGTATACTTTTAAAGATACTGGACCAGCCGTTGCCCCACCTGTGTGTGATCCAATGCAACATGGTCAATATCAGCCATACCCTCCAATTGTACCTCCTCAAGGGGAAACCAAGTCTAGAGGTGATGGGTTTTGCAGAGGATTGTAAGTTCCCTCTCCCTTTCTCTTTCTCCCCCAACCACACACACACACACACAATCCCCACCCCGTTTGAATTTATAGTCGTGCTGGCTTGGGTCGCTACTGCTGCCTAGATATCTGCTTCTAGGGATGGGAGGACCTTGCAAAGGCCACTTGGCCCCTGCACTTACTAGTTTGTCTGACACAAGTTACCTTCTGGGTTCTCATGAGCATGTAGTATGTTTCTCTGTAAACTACGGTTGCCATCTGATTTCAGGTCTATGGGACTTAATTTTCGAGTAAGAGATGAACTAATCCTAAAGAAGATCACTTTTTTTTTTTAATCAGAAATAGATTAGTACAACAAAACTGAAGAAAGTTTCTTGTAGTAAGAGCTCAGTTCTTAGGTCAAGTAGTTGAAAATTTATCTCACTTCTTTATGACACTACTTTCCATACATTTCTCTATGAATCTCACTATAACCAAACAGTTTCTACTTTTCTTTCTTCAACGCTCATCAACTCACTAATTCCCAACAAAAGAGACAGGCTTTGCCATGTACCTGGGATGATCATCCCCAGCCATGATTACGGCTATATTTGGAGTAGTATCAAACTGCTCGTTTCCTGTGTTCTTGCTTGGTTTTTCTTTGTCGTCGTTGATAGGAGAATTTCGCATCTGCATTTGGTGAGAGCAAGCAAGGAAAAAAAGAACAGCAGAAGTGATTCCAAAAACAATGGCGAAACCTCCAAAGATATATGGGATGGGAGAGTTCCCTGGCAAGAACTCTTTCCATATAATTGTCATCTCTCCCTTGCTTTGTTCTTATAAAATGGGATTCACCTTAATTTATACCTAAACATCCAACTAAGCAATAAATTGTTAACGATGCTAGAAGATAGGATATTTTTAATCCAAAACATTGATCAGAATTTCGTTAGATTCCAAGAGAACTTTTAACAGAAACTAACATTTATGAATACTGTATTTTCACTTCTTACTCACCTTCATTTCAACAATATTCTTCAAAGCCGTGCAATTTAAAAGCATATCTAAATTTGCAAACAGCTATCTAAAACATCTATTTATTATTTATCTGAATGTCAAATTGTAAACTAACAAGAGTAGAGAAGCATGCAGTGGCTTGGCATCCAGAACATTTCCAAGGGTACGGGGGCGGCGGCTTGGAAGTGGAGAATTAATTCCCTAATTTGATTCCTGTAGGGACAGTAGCTTTGAAGATTAGTCAAATCAATATTATAAAATGAAATTCCCACTCCCCTGTAGAACCCAAATTATTTGCAACATACAATCAATATGGCAGGAAATAAAGCAAAACAAAGAATTATGTTTTACCCACTTGATCTCGTTGCAGTACAGCGTAAATTCCGAGGATTTATCTTTTTCTTTCATTTGTGATATTCCAATTCTTGTTGCAGTACACGAAGCTTTTAATCAAATATCTTCTTGAAGAACACACTTGAAGTCCTCAATGGAGACCTGTACATCATCAATCCATTTAAGACAAATTCAAGTTTCTGGGACCTCAGCTTTCCTTCGCGGGTATCATGTAACCATTTAGTCTGAAAGATATGACCTGATGCTAAATTTAATGTGATGCAAAGCTGAAGAAAGAATAATTGCTAAAGCACTGAATGATATATCGAGGTAATTCAATCAATATACATTCATATAATAGCATAATTTAATGCTAGGGAGCGATATTAGGCTCAGGAAACTCTTGAAGACAAATATACGCTTCAAGAAACATAAATTATGTGGGTAGCACAATGGTGCATTTTCTGCAACTATAATCAAGAAGATGAGAATAATCTGTAGTTGTATAAATTACAAAAATATTATAGCTATATGATTCTCATGGATAGTCCAAGAACATTGAGCAATTGCCTATACTATGACGATTAACTGTATAACATTGGAATAGGAACAGCTCCTGCTTTATTTCCACAGCAAGTAATGCCAGTTGTCAGCCATGAAAAGCCAGGTAGCTCAATGTAATTTAACTCCCAACGAGAATAAGGATCCGATGTTTGCCTCATTTCCATTATGTCTCAGTTGAACTTTGAGATAAGCTTGTCAACATGAATTACAATATCATCAATGCGCGGACGGACTGCAGCCTGTGGCTGAAGCATCCACTTCACAAACTGATGAAGAGCATCGGGATATTGAGGACTTGGCCCAGCCGGCCACTTGATCTGTACATTTATGATCGCTAACTGTAAGCTTCCTCCAGATTCGCCAAGCACATATTCAAATGGAGATACACCATACCTATGATAAACAGACGTACAGTCTATTAGCGACGACAAAATTTTCTTATAACTTGTTGAATATATTCACTAAAGTCACCATCTAATCTAAAATATCATAGATATTAAAAGGAAAAAGTCGGAGAGAGATTGATAGGCAATCATGGCAGAAAAAATACAACTGATTCTCAAAAAAAAAAAAAAAAAAAAAAAAAAAAAAAAAAAAAAAAAAAAAAAAAAAAAAAAA